ATTGAGGGAATGAGTTGTTGTCACTTTATATTGTCTTGGGTAACTATCACTTCGTGATATAGTTTTTCTTTTTTTGGTAGTTAGGCCCAAGGTTCATGTAATTGATACGATGGTAATTGTTGGGAATAAAATAAAATAGTCGGACTTACTATTTACAACAGTGTCTTAGGAGCTCTTGAGGCATAAATTAGTGTTGCCGCCTTGTAGGACTATTGCAGTGTTATCAAAAGCGAAGAATGTAAAAATAACTCTAAGCTGCTTTGGGGTTTTAAGCGCAAAACGCAAATAAAACATTGACTTTAATGGAAAAAGGTGCGAGGAAACAAATACAAACTATGTATGTGTAGTCATTAATAAGCATAAGCTTGAATAACAAGTATATGGACAAAGAAATTGAAAAAGAATAATGATAAACAGAATTACCAATTGTTTAGTATCACATCTTTAGGATTTTTCTCATTGGCAAGGAAAAGTATGTCTTAGAGCCTTAATGACAACGTTGAAGTGCCCATAAAGCAAGGCGAAGTGTTAACATGTTTTGTGTATCGCTTTAGGGCTTAAGCGCGCCTTTGTGAACATTCGACCATTCATGCCTTCTGTTTGCTTTATTTGAATGTTTTTTTGTTTCATAAAGACAAAATTGATGTAGCGTTTAGAATTAACTTCCCTTGGTATCTCCCAATTATGTTTAAAACAACTAGTCAGTTCTCGAGTACAAGGTCAAGTTAACAAATTTTCGTGTCTATTAGATCTATTGAACTAATATTTTGGATCAATTTTCAATGTTTTTTTGCAGCTGGAGGTTGCTGGATATTCCTTTTCTTTATCTATTTCAGATATGATGGAAAGGGTAGATATTACAAGAATCACTTTACATCTCGGAAGTCCTGATTTGTGAGTTACTATTACATTATGAAACTCGAGGACTTCTTTACCTTGACTGAGATGAGTAATGGGCTCACTACTCCTTCTCGAGTCCAGGAGCTACTCTCCATAATGCAGAAGGAAAGAGAGTGTGATGTCAAGAATGCTGGTGAAATAACAAAGCAGTGGTCTGCTGTTGCAAGCACAATAGCTGCAACTGAGAATAAAGAGTGTCTTGAACTCTTTATCCAGCTAGATGGACTCAGCTTTATTCAGAGTTGGTTACGGGATGCTCTAAGATTTGGAAATGAGACAGGTGAGTACTTTGTAGATGAGTCAATCAGTCATTTGATAGATCTTTTACTGCGAGCTGTTGAGAGGCTGCATGTAGATGATAAGAAGTCTGTATCTTCTGGAATCTGGCTGACTGTGAAGAGCCTCCTTGGCCACAATAATTCTAAGGTGCAAGAGAGAGCTAAAACATTACTTGATAGTTGGAATAACGGGAAAGACGACTGTATGGTTTCAGCGGGTATTGAAAAAGTACAAGCATCTATTAATGATAAAACAAGAGATACTGCGAATCTTGTTGGAGAAAATGGGCCGTCTGAACAGTCGTCTGTGGAAGGAGGTTCTGGAGAAGAAAAGACCAAGGAACATGTTGGCAATAGTAGGACACTGTCTTCAAGGTCTGATATCCATCAATCTAGGATTGGCGATACCGCAACATCCAACCAAAATTTGGAGCATACACACATGAAGGATGCGTTTCCAGGCTCTTCTTTGTCAAATTCGGTTACTGAAGGTGTCAAGGGTGAACACCCGGCACATCATGCAGAGTGTGCCACCAATGCTATTGATACGTCAAATGCGTCCACTTCTATAGAATTGAGACCTGGTCCTGTTGATGAACAGGCAGATGTTCCTGTTTCAGATTCAATTAATCACTCAAGTCACATTAAAGAAGTTGGAGGTTTTGAGAAATTCAACTCCGCAGTGTCTAAATCATTGGAAGACAGAACTATTTCTTTAGTTACTGATATCAGAGAAGCTTTGGATGCTATTGCTGGATCAGATTTACAAAAACAAACTGATGTCTACAACGAAAAGATTTGTAGCGGAAATTCTACTTTTGGTGATGTCTCAGTGGCTGTTCCCAAGGGAAAGACACCGGTGGATGATAGTAAACCTGATAATCATGGCAGCAGTAAGATAGTGCTTGAAGCTAAAGAAAACAGTAAGTGCAACAATGATGTATTGCAGGACTCCGACAAGCATAATCTGGAACATCCCATAGATTCTGTTGTTGGTCAGGCTGACAAACACACTAGCGACAACAGTGAGGACAAACACACTAGTGACAACAGTGAGGATGATATGGAAAATGAAAGTGAATTTCAAGAAGCAGGAAAAGGAGGTAGAGATAATGGTGTGTTTGGCAAGAAAAGTGATATTGATTTTGACTATGGCATCATGGATCCTTTAGAATTAGCTAGACAAGTTGCAATAGAAGTGGAGAGGGAAGTTCAGAGTTGCAGTTCTTCTGAGAAAATAGAGGAGAGTAAAATTCATGAGCCTGGTAGCCCAGTTTCTGTTAGTGCAAAACAAAGCCAAAAAAGAATTGAGTGCTCTAACAAGGAAGTATCAAGAGGGATGGCTCCTTCAACTGAAGCTTCACTTGCAAACTCAGAAGTTAGACCAATCAATGGAACTGTGAAGGTGGAATCTTCTCAGGTTGTTGATGCCACTTTGGATCTTGAAACCAACGTCGACAAAGGTCTCTGCACTTTTGATCTGAATCTAGAGGTTTGTTCAGATGATATGGATAGTCCAGGAAATCCGATCTCCAGTTCTGTATCTGTTGTTTCTGCTTCAAGGGCTGCAGCTGCCTCTGGAGTACCTGCTACTCCCTTACAGTTTGAAGGAACTCTTGGATGGAAAGGATCCGCTGCAACAAGTGCTTTTCGGCCTGCATCACCTCGCCGGATCCCTGGAGGTGAGAAGGCTGTTTCCTCTGGCGGGAATGCCAGCAGCTCAAAGCAAATGCAATGTTTCCATGATATTGATCTGAATGTATCTGAAGGTGGAGATGATAGGGTTGCAGACCTTTTCCCTGAAAAGAAAGTTTCATTATCATCTGCTCTTCCTCTAGGTAAATCTTCTCGTGAAGCCAGTCCAAGAAAATCGGAAATGTTAGAGTGGGATCTTAACTGTGCAAGTGAAGAGGGTGAAGCACCATCTGATTGGCGAATGGAGGGATCACTCTTGTCTCTGAGGAATGGTCATCCAAGCCAGTCACCTTCATCATCATCATCATCAAAGCAGCCTTCGTTAAGGAACTTTGATCTAAATGACCAGTCCTCTTTTCTCAATGATTTCTCAAATCTGAACAACTTCAAGAAACCACCTCAGAATTCTAATGCATCTGGTGGAATAAAATCAGGTGATACTGTTGTGTCCATCATGGGCGTGAAGGTTGAGGTCAACCGTAAAGATTATGCTGCTCAGTCTTCTCCTTTCCCAAATGGTAGGGTAGCAGAAAACGCTGTTGAGCATAACGTTGCAAGAGGTGGAGGAGTTTTAGGAATGGGATCTCCATTTCAATATACCCCTCTTCCTGCTTTCGGTTACAGTGGCATTGCTCCAGTTCCTCCCGCTTTCTCCTCATCGATGTATGGACCCAGTGGTCATATTCCTTACCTGGTTGATTCCAGGGGGGCTCCTGTTGTACCTCAAATTGGCGGATCTACTTCAGCAATACCACCCTCTTTCTCCCAACAATCATTCATTTTAAACATGGGAAGTGCACCTGTTCCCAACGGAGTTTGGCCATCACGAAGTGGTCTGGATCTCGACACTGGCTTAGTACTTGATCGTGGGAATAAAGACACCGGAGGTCTGAGGCAGCTTTTTGATCAAGGACAAGCTAGAACGATGGATGAACAGTTCAGGATCGGCATGCAACCCTCAACCAGTTTGAGTATCGGTGGGAAACGCAAAGAACCAGATGGTGGCTGGGAATCTTCCCCTTTCAAACATCATCCACCACCATGGAAGTAAACTTTCGATTTGTTATCCCAGTCGTTAAATCATTTATCGGCCAGTGTCTTGTAGCAGTAGGTAAATTAAAGGTAGGAGGAGGGGGGGTCTTATATTGATTTAAACTGGGATGAAGCATAATATAGTTGAATAAAGACATAATTTCTGAATGTAATATGATTCTTGACATTACTTTAAGAATAGGTGCAAAAGTTTACTTGTTCACTATGTTTCTTCTAACTTGTTCCTTCTGGTCACATTTTTAGGTATTTTGCTTTACTCAGCAAGCTTACATGTAACTGTAATTCTCATTTACACCCAAAGAAATTTAGAAGAATGTCTCTCTTTCATCTATTTTCATTTTCAAAGATATCCAGGGCTCGGAATCCAGACATGTGGTCAAGAGAGAAACAGCCTCATAGATGTTTGTTTAGACGTACATTTTTTTTGGAAAACAGATATCAATTTTTAAACAAAATTTATAACCATCATAAAATTTAAAACTATTTGAAAAAAACACCACCACCACATAAGCATAATAATAATGCTTACTAAGATGAATAAACAAAATTATAAGCTAAAATTACTTTTGCTTCAAATGTTGAATGAGACATAGTGTGAGAACTATAGACCACGAGTTCGAGCCATGCAATAATTATTGTCTAATTCTTCTGTCATTCATAGAATGGAAAAAAGAGGATAAATATACCCTCATATTATCATAAACGGTATGTAAATATTCTCCGTCATATTTTTGGGGCATTGATCTCTAACTAATGACAAAATAGGGACACACGTCTGATCTTATCCGTCGATTTCATATATATATTTTAGTTTTTGAACGGCAGAAACACCAATGTCCAAAAAAATATGACGAATGATATTTACTTACCAATTACGATAATTTAGAATAACTTATTTTTCAATCAAACGAGGTTTTTGACGGTGGCCACGTGGAGCTCTGTCCCCTATCGATCAGGCAAGCGGTTTCAATTCGTCCGCATTTTTGTTCCGTCGCCTCATAACCACTCTTCTTCTTCTTTATTTCTTCACATTTTTTTTTCTTCCCATTTCCATTCTAAGGAAACGAAAAAAAAATGAGAGAAATCTTACACATTCAAGGAGGCCAATGCGGGAACCAAATCGGTTCAAAATTCTGGGAAGTAATTTGTGATGAACACGGCATAGATCCAACGGGACGTTACAATTCTGATAATGCAGGTGCATCTGATCTACAACTTGAACGGATTAATGTGTATTTCAATGAAGCTACTGCTGGTCGTTTTGTACCTAGAGCTGTTCTTATGGATCTCGAACCTGGTACTATGGATAGTATTAGATCTGGTCCTTATGGACAAATTTTTCGCCCTGATAATTTTGTTTTTGGACAATCTGGTGCTGGAAATAATTGGGCAAAAGGACATTATACAGAAGGCGCTGAATTGATTGATTCTGTTCTCGATGTTGTTCGTAAAGAGGCTGAGTACTGTGACTGCATGCAAGGTATGAAAAAAAAAATAATTCAATTTTGCTTCTAAAATTTAGATATTCTAAAACTATGCGAAAAATGTTATAAGTTGCAATTCTTCTCGTATTTGATGAAATCATGTGTTCAAGTAAAAGTTTTGATGGATAAATAAATAATGAAATAATTGAAGTGTGTGTGAACTGTTTGATGTTAATCACCTCAATCGACAATGATAGCTATATGCTCTGGTGTTGTGATTAATGGATGGAGTTTGTTCGTATGATGCCTGAATGAACGCATGCAAACGTATAAAGTAGTATTTGTCTCTGTTAATGTACATTTGTAGATGTATAGTATTTGATAAGATATGTAGTTTATGGAAATATAAGAAGCATTTTGGACAAAACATATGGAGAAATTGTGGATAGACAAGTTCATATATAATTTGATCTATAATGCACCTTCGTGGTGAGACACGTATAAAAGAAGAGCTGGGATTATGATATATGATGTACTTTCATCTTTTTTCAGTAAATGATTTGAATTAACATTGAAAAGTTGGATTCGATCACCTTGTTTTTTGTTCTGTTGAAATTAATCAAGGATCTTACTGCCTAGTGTCTTTTCTCAAAACTTATAGTACAAATCAGAATGTTATATAAAAAAAAAATCGTACAATGATCCATGATTTTTTGGAGATACGAACGCCTAAGCTTTGTAGAACGAGAATTTCTCACAAATGCTTTAGTCTTTTCTGAATTTTTGAACATAAATGAATTTTATCTATATTTTAAATTGGACCTCTGTTTTAGTTTATTTTATTTATTTACAATCTTTGTTTTTTGTTTTATGAGCCAGGATTTCAGGTTTGTCACTCACTTGGAGGAGGGACTGGTTCCGGCATGGGAACTCTCTTAATTTCAAAGATAAGGGAAGAGTATCCAGATCGAATGATGCTCACCTTCTCTGTTTTTCCATCTCCAAAGGTTTCAGACACTGTTGTCGAACCATACAATGCTACACTTTCTGTGCACCAATTAGTAGAGAACGCTGATGAATGTATGGTCCTCGACAATGAAGCCCTCTACGACATCTGTTTTAGGACTCTAAAGCTCACTAATCCAACTTGTAAGTTTCTCTCTTTGATATTAACTCATACGATCATACTCTTTTCATTTTAGAACGTTCCAAATGTGTCGCATCATTCCTAAAATAACGGAGTGTTATTACATTTAACCTTCTACCTCGAACTTTATTATAAAAAGGGCAATTACTAATTCTAAATCCTGATGTAAAAACATTGAGTTTAGTCAAGCAACGTTGTATAAATTGATAGTTTGATACGAATGGAGTATCCTTTTTGTTTGCAGTTGGTGACCTAAATCATTTGATATCTGCAACAATGAGTGGTGTTACATGTTGTCTGCGATTTCCCGGTCAGCTGAACTCAGACTTGAGAAAATTGGCTGTGAATCTAATCCCGTTCCCACGTCTTCATTTCTTCATGGTGGGATTCGCACCACTGACATCTCGTGGATCACAGCAATACAGTTCCCTCACAGTTCCAGAGCTTACACAACAAATGTGGGATGCTAAGAATATGATGTGTGCAGCTGACCCTCGTCATGGACGTTACTTAACAGCATCTGCTATGTTTAGGGGAAAAATGAGTACTAAAGAAGTCGATGAACAGATGATCAACGTCCAAAACAAGAACTCGTCGTACTTTGTTGAGTGGATCCCTAACAATGTGAAGTCTAGTGTGTGTGACATTCCACCAACTGGGCTAAAAATGGCATCTACATTTATTGGGAACTCGACGTCCATTCAAGAAATGTTTAGGAGAGTGAGTGAGCAGTTCACGGCCATGTATAGACGAAAGGCGTTTTTGCATTGGTATACTGGGGAAGGAATGGATGAAATGGAATTTACTGAAGCTGAGAGTAATATGAATGATTTGGTTGCAGAATATCAACAGTATCAAGATGCTACTGCTGAGGTTGAGGAAGATTTTGATGAAGGTGTTGAAGAACATTATGAAGGCCAATAACTTCTCAAATTTTAGTATCACAGAATATTGCTTTGTTTATTTTTTGTTTGTGGATTTGTTAAATGCTTATGTTTTTTTTTTTTTTAGATTTATTATTGTTATTTGGATGAACCCTCTGTTTTATTTGTTCTTTTGTGAATGAAAATTAAATGTTAGATAGTGATTTGAATATGTAAAGGGAAAAGGGTTAAAAAAAAATGTCTGTATACGTGAAATGAATAGAATTGTCCTGTGTAGTTTGATTCAAAAATGTAGTTGCCGTTAATACTTTGGTCCAAATCCAAAAATGTCTTTATTGTTATTTAATGAGTCAAAATTCAAAAATGCTCATTTTCAAAATAAATATATTATTTAAATCTTTTTAACACATTCTTTTCTAGCAAATGTTTATGCTACCTCAATTCAAAAGAAGATAAAATAAGAAATATTTTAATTATCATTATATATACTATAATCTTATATATATATATGACATATCTATCTGTTAAAACGGTATATGAAGTTATAACGGTATATGAAGTTATTTTATTTTAATTGATAAAATGAGATCAAGAAGAAAATAATTATCTCTTACATTTTTATTTTGTTAAAATAATTTTAAAAGAAAAAAACAAGAATCGAGTTTTTTAATAATATTTTAATTAGAAAAAAAATATATTTTCAAAAGAAAAGAATAATATATTTATTTTGGAAATGGGCAGTTTTGATCCATAATAAACATTTTTGGACCAAAGTATTGATTGGAAAAATATTTCTGAATCAAAGTATTAACGACAAAGGATATATAAGCCAAACTTCATTACCCCAAAAAAACTCATTTATAGTTCTACTAACCACATTTCGGTTATATATGTTATTCCTCATCAAATAATTCTATCATATTTCTCCTTTTACGAGATAATGATGTCAATCTCACGCCTTATCATGAGATAAGAAAATATATTACATGAATTTTTTTTTAAAAAAAAAATTAAAATGAATTACACCAAATCTAATTATCTATTAGTCGAGATGATCTCTTAGTTTCAATTCTTTTCATCCTCCTTTTTCTCCTAGCTTCTGCATATTGGGCCTTTCTTTGAGACATACCACTTATTGGGCCTGTATACCTCACAAAGCCCAATCCATTAGTTGATGAAAACATGGGCTGTTCTTGTGGAAGTTGGCCCATTACTATTGGGCTTATATGGTTCATCAAGCCCAATTGTGGAAGTTGGCCCTGTAACTAGCTAGTATACTGATTTAGTAACGCAAAATAAAATTGTATTGATTATATTTTTTTGTAAGAAAAATAATTTAGTAAATATTCACGTTTGAGTGTAATTAAATATAACTTTAAAAGTGAAAAGAGAGATGAAAATCAAGTTATAAAATTGTTTACCGAATTTGAAATACAAAATCATAATTTTCATGATCAAACACTGATTAACCGATAATGATATGAAATATTTCATTACTTACCTTTTCTAATTGATTTTAACTCAACATTGTAAGCTTTTTGCTTGTTATTATAACTTTGTACTATCTCCACCTCCTGTAGTTTTAGACAAACGAAAAAGGAGTAAAAAAAAAAAGATTAGTCCGATAAACTAAGCATCGCGTATTAATAGGGTTTGTATTACAAGCATTAGTGATTGTTTTCACCGTTTGAACATGTGATTTATTAATCACATATAGATAATATTATCGTTGTCTTCTATCTTTTAATCAATAAAAGAGAGGATAAAAAAATTAACACAATGAACTAAGTATTTCGTGTCAGTAGGATTTAAAAGAAAGACCGCACCTCCAAGATGGTGATGTAGACATATCTTATACTTAATGCAAGTATTAATGACTATTTTCACGAATCAAACTTATACTCCAAAAAATACGATAATTTTGAAAACAAACAAACATATTATTTATTAAACAATTTACTGACTCACTCACCTGTCTTAAGGATTCTCTACATCAACTCAACTTCTCTATATTACGCATCAACTTTTCTCTTATCTGCAAAAAAAAGAGAGGCAAGAATGCAAACAAAAGTTGTATATTCTTTGTTCTAATTTATTTAATATCGTAAGTATGAATTTCAAAATCTCAAATACGAAAATTTTAAGTTTTTATCGCGAAATATTTACATATATGAATTATAGTATATAGGGATTGGAATCATGCCATATAATTTTAGTTAATATCTCAAAAAATTACTTAACAATAAGAAATTTACTAAGTAAAGTTATTAAACATAGTTTGTGTTATACGAATAAAATCACTCAATTTAAATATTTTATTTTTCAAAATCATTCAACTATATTCATTATTTAAATTACTTAACTCAAAATCTTTGTATTAATAAAATTACTCAAGTTTATTTATCATTAAGAAAAAAATTAACATGACAAATCGTAACTTTATTAATCTAACATATTTTAACTGGTCCAAATTTAGCCCAATCTAGTGAAGTTTATTACATCTCAGACGCAAGTTTAATAATAAGTTTTTATATAAAGAGTTAAAAGTTAAGTGATTTTATCGTCACAAAATAAAGTTTAGTGATTTTGTTAGGAAAATTCTCAATATTTGAATAATCTTTTGAATCTTTTTATTTATTATCATGCAAGATTTTTTTTAATACTAACTTTAGTCAAGTACTTTAAAAGATAAAGTCTTAAATTGTTTGATTTTACTGATACAAAATAAAATTCAATGACTTTAATCGAATAAACTCTCAAAGTTTAATTACCTTTTGAAATATTAATTCCACGTAAATTAGGATGAAATTATTTTGCTTATCGAAATCAAAAGGATGTCAAATAAACTAGGACGATAATAATAAACATATAAACGAAGAATCGAAAAGTTTAAAATTCATAAATTTTCAGTACCTTTCTTTCAGATTCTTCAATTTGGTCTTTTAGATTCAACAAAATATTGGCCACATTGATTTCATCTTCATTGAATGAAGCACATTCTATAATCCTATTTTGGATCATTTTTTTTTCGAAGTCAGATTTTTTATTTATTTTTTAAAAAGTATTCAAATATATTTAAATATACATAAAAAAATATTTTTTAGGTTTCCTTATCTAATTTGAATTGGAGAACTTAGGAGGCCGGGGAGGTTTTTCTTTTTAGTTTAAGAGTATATATTTTATTATTAAAAAAATGATAAGAAAATATTAATTTTGTTTTTTTCCCAAATATTATTTAATTTTCTGAAATAGAAACGTGACGAATCTATATTAAAGTTTTATTGTCATGAAACTTTCTTGGAAATAAGGTGGTGTCAATTTGATAGAAAATTATATTACTTTATTTTTGATATATTTTTTATTATATTTATATTTAAAAAATTGCAATTTATATTTTGGCATATATATATATATATATATATTAGACTTTAAACTTGGCTTCAAATTTTCACTTTGACCTTCAACTTTTATAATGCACAAACAGACAATTAACTATTCAGCTTTTAAATAAATAAACACATGAATCCTACATAGCATAATATACGAAGGATATCACAAAAATGACACATAGGACATGAGTGTCTATTTGTTAAACTTTATACAAGTTTAAGTGTCTATTTGTGCACACCTAAAGTTGAAGAAAATAAATGTAATTCAAAGCCAAGTTAAAGAATATATTTATGTATTATGTCTATTATTTTTTTATATAATTTCTGAATATCTAAATTTTTAATTTAAAATATCAAATTGATATAATTAAATTAAACTTTTAAAATAAATCAAATTAACTTTTAAAAAGCGAAATATAATAAGTAAAATGAAACCGAAGAAATACATCAAATTCCCATATTGTGATCCATTTGTTATTTGTTAGGACTTAGGAGTTGAGACGACGAAGTTTTAATTAACTTCAATTAAAATAAGACTTCACAACAAGAAGTTGTTCTCTATATATTCTTTTCATTTCATATTAGTTAACGTAATTTCCTTCTAATAAATATATTACTTTTTTAATTTAAGAATGAGATTTAGTCGAGCTAAACTAATTTCAAGACTAGTTAATATTAAAGTAAAATGGAGTAAAAATAATTAATTTTATAAAAAGACAAGTAAATTCAGATAAATATTTTTAATATTCTCAATAGTGAGATGATTGAAAAAGAGAAGATGACTAGAGAAACTAATTAAACAAGTGTTTGATTATGCATTTTAAATTAAAATTAAAAAAGTTATCTTTAAATATTTATTGACCATAAAATTTGATCAGATTTAAAAAATCTATTCTTCAAATATTTTTATATTTTCAAAAATTGGCTCACACCAATTTTTGAATTTTAAAACTTTCGTTCACAAAATTTTAAAATATTTTCAAATAAAATGTATACTCAGACATAGTTTAAAAATGTAAATTTCAAGTTTCAAGAGGAGCTTAAAATTACAAAATTATGAGAATTAAAAAAATAAAATTTTAAAATTGTTCTACCATATTCTTAAAAGAAATAAACAAATATTGGATAAACTTTATCATATCATATACTGTAGATATATTACAGCCACTTTTGTCTTTTTTCCTATTTTGTTTGTTATGTAGCCGAATTCTAAATTTAAATGTAATTTTATTAATTTAAAATTGTATTAGAATGCTCATTTTTGGTCATAAATGAAATTTATTTAGATTAATTACTTACTTGCACGTCAAATAATAAGAAAAATAATATTAATTTTTAATTTCCAAGTTGTTTACAGCTGTTACTCACTTTAATTTTCTCTCTTTTCTAAGTCTATTTATATGAAAATCATGAATGATAAACTTTATTTTATAATCTTCAAAAACTATATATTATAAAAGTTTATTTTAATGTGTGTTAGCCATGGCCATCTCCAAATTTCTTCTTGTTACTATGGTTTTGATTTCTCTACTTGTTTTTCGTCCTGTGGAAGCTAATGGCAACGGTGACGGTGACAATTTAGCGGTATATTTTTTTAAATTTGAATATTTAATTTATTATCGGAATAAAATAAAAATTAGCTATAAGTGTTATATGTAACTAAATAAGATTTAATGGTTAATTTAGGTGCACACGGCTGGACCAGAGGGTGCTAACAACCCTACTTACATCCCTACATCAGGTAATTAATTAATCATATATATATATATATATATATATATATATATATTATAAACCATCAACTTTTATTTATAATTTGGAAGTGTGATATATATGACCTATAGTCAATTATTCAATTTTCATATTTGTATCAAATGAACTTGAAATTAATTGCTAAATTTAACCCCCTTTAAGCTAGGATTAATTTTAGTCCGGGAATTTAGGAGCAACGATAAAGTTATTTTTGTTTATGTCTTAAAAGGAATCACTAATATTTGTATTAGAATCGATTATATACATGATACTTTCGAAATTCTTAGTAGAGATCTTTTGTGCAACGTATTGAACTTGATTTTTCCTCCAAAAAAACAAACATATAGTAGTAATTTAAATATTGCTCTATTTCCACAAACGTAAATTGCTAACATTTGACCATACATTTTAGATCAGATTTTGAAAATTTATTTTTAAATATTTGTTTGATTTAAATTTAATCAGATTATTTAAAAATTTAATCTTCAAATATTTTCAAGTTTTTCAAATCAAATTTTAGTAGAAATTTCATTGTATCCGCAAAATTCAAAGTCAAAATACATATCCAAACATATCCTCAAGTTTCAAAATTAATCATAACATCAAAACTCACATTCTCAAATTTCAATATTAGGAATACCCTAGTTTTATCTCATATTGATATCTCAAACTGTAAATTATGTTTACTTGTTAATTACTTAGTGATACAAACCAACAAACTCTTATTTTATTCAACTCCCCCCCCCCCCCCCACCCACTCCGGTTACTTTTCTCGGAAATTATTTGACTAAATATAGATAAGTGTAAGTTAGTCTATGTCTGAACCATATTCCTCGTGGAATGAACCCTAGCCTGAAAGTTAGATTCTTTAGTTGACAACGATCACTTATACTTCTTTTGTAATTTAGACGTGTCAAAATTTTATAATTTTTTTGATCCAACGGAAGCTCAAAATCCTAAATCCGTCTTCGTAATTTTTTTCAAGAGTGTGGAACAGCATGTGAGGCAAGATGTAGTCTAGCATCAAGACATAAAATGTGTTTGAGAGCATGTGGGACTTGTTGCACTCGTTGTAATTGTGTGCCTCCAGGCACCTCTGGGAACCAAGATCTTTGCCCTTGTTACCGTGACATGCTCACTCATCATGGCAAGCACAAGTGTCCCTAAATATATATATATATATATATATACTTATACATAGTAATATATGTATAACATAAAACTTTTTAAGAAGTGATCAAAAATAAAACGCGATAAATTTTAGATGATTTTTAGATATTTTATTTAATTTTTTATCGGCTTGAAAATTTGCGATTTCTTTTGTATCGACCTATATGCGCGATCGCGTGTTCTAGATGATAAATGTCACTCGTGTAGTCCCTATATCTTTGGCAAGTTTTGTAAGTTGTTACATATCTTATTACTTTTTAACTTTTTTGTGATATAAATAGTTCAAGTTATAAATTTTATGTTAAAGGACACAATATTTTTCATGATTTGACTTAATTTTAATTTACTGAGTTCATGACTTCAGATAGGAAGAGATGCATAGGTTAAATGTTTTATTTAGAAGTAGTCAAGTGTTATCGTGCTTTCTGTGAGAGAAAATGTATGAACTAATACACACGAAAAAACTAATTTTAGCGCTCGAAGCATTAAAAAGAAAATTATGAGGACCTCCGAAATGTGTTGCGAACATTCAACGTATAACCATACCATTTTTTTCACGCTCATTTTTGCATTTGCTATTCCTTTTTAAGAATCACCCAAATGTCTCAATTTTTCGTGTGTATTAATCCATGGATCTGGCGCCCAAAACATCCAAAAAAAATTCTCAAAAAAATATATATTAAGACCTCCTTAATGATTTGTGGAAACTCCACATATAATCAAACCATTTTTTCAATGCTTATTTTCGCATATACAAATTATTTTTTTTAAGAATTGCCTAAATTTTTTGATTTTTTTGTATCTATTAGCCTTTGGATTTAGCGCCTAAGGCACACAATTTTTTTCTCAAAAAACTTTATGAGGATCTCCGTAATGAGTTGGGGAACATTCACATATACTCACACCATTTTTTCTACGTCCATTTCCCTATTTATAAGCTATTTTTTTAGGAATCGCCCAAATTTCTTGATTTTTCTTGTATATTAGCCCATGAATCTACCGCCCAGAATACCCAAAAAAAATTTCTTAAAAAACTCTTAAGGACCTCCATAATGAGTTAGGAACCTTCACATATACTCACACTATTTTTTTCACATCTATTTTCGCATTTACAAGTTTTTTTTGCAGGAATCACCCAAATTCTTTTATTATTCGTGTGTATTAGCCATTGATCAGGTGTCCGGAGAATCCATAAAAAATTCTCAAAAAAACAACAACTTTATAAGAACCTCCATAATGAGTTGGGGAACCTTCACATATACTGAAATTATTTTTGTCATGACAATTTTTGCATTTACAAATCGTTTTCAACAATCACCCAATTTTCCTGATTTTGTATGTGTATTAGCTCGTGGATCTGACCCCTGGAACACCAAAAATTTTAACTCAAAATAGTCTATGAGGACCTCCGTAATGAGTTTGGGAACCTTCACATCTATTCCACTATTTTTTTACTCCCATTTCCGCATTTACAAGCCCCTTTTTTAGGAATCACCAAAAATCTCTGATTTTTCATATGTATTAGCCCATGGATCTGGTGCTCGAAGCATCAAAAAAAGTTTCTCAAAAAAATTTATGAGGAACTTCGTAGTGAGTTGATGAACCTTCACCTAACTCACACTCTTTCTTTCACACCTATTTCCGCATTTTCAAGTCGTTTTTAAAGAATAACCTAAATTCTCTGATTTTTTATGTGTATTAGGTCAGGAATCTGGCGCCCATAGTCTCCAAAAAGTTTTTTGAGAAAAACTTTTTGAAGAACTTTGTAATGAGTTGGGAAACTTTCATGTATACTTACACCATTTTTAACGCTTGTTTCCTCATTTACAAGTCATTTTTAGGAACCACCCAAATTTTCTGATTTTTTCGTGTATTAATGCTCATTGAGCTAGCGCCCGGAGAATCCAAAAAAAATTCTCAAATTTTTTTATGAGTATCTCTTTAATGAGTTGAGGAACCTTCATGTATACTCGCACCATTTTTTATGTCCAAATGCTCATATACAACCCATGGATTTGGCGCCTAGAGCATCCAATGTTTTTCTCAAAATACTTTATGAGGATCTCCGTAATGAGTTGGAAACCTTCACGTATCTATATTTAACGTTCAATTTTTCGTGTATATTAACTCATGGATCTAACACGGAACATCCAATATTTTTTTCTTAAAATCAATTTTGAAGAACCGCGTAATGAGTTTGAGAATATTAACATATACTCACACCACTTTTCACTCATATTTTCATATTTACAAGCCTCTTTTTAGGAATCACCAAATTTTATGATTTTTCGTGTGTATGCACATGGATCTGGCGCCCATAGGATCCAAAACAAATTCCTAAAGAACCTGATAAGGACCTTCGTAATGAGATAGAAACCTTCATGTATAATTACACCATTTTTTCACGCCCTTTTTCGCATTTACAAGCCCTTTATTAAGTATCATACACATTTTATAATTTTTCTTGTATATTAGTTCGTAGATCTTGCGCTCGGAGAACCTAAAAAAAATTCTCAAAAAATTTATTTGGACCTCCATAATGAGTTGGGGAACCTTCACGTATACTCACACAAATTTCTTGATGCTCATTTCCACATTTACAAGTCATTTTTTAGTAATCGCCTAAATTCTTCTATTTTTCGTGTGTATTAGCCCATGGATCTGGTCCGCTAAGCATCTTAAATTTTTTTCTCTATCAAATTTATGAGGACCTCTTTAATGAGTTGAGGAACCTTCACGTAAACTCGTATCAAGTTTTTTGCGCTCATTTCTGCATTATAAACCCTTTTTTAAAAAATCGCCCAAATGTCTCATTTTTCGTCTGTATTAGACAATAAGTCTGGCTCCTGGAGAATCCTAATTTTTTTAATCTAAAAACATTATGAAGACCTCTGTAATTAGTTGGAAAATCTTCACGTATATATACACCAATTACTAATGCATATTTCCAAATTTGCAATTACTTTTTCAAAATCGTCCAAATTTCTCAATTTGTCGTATACTATAAGCACACCATTTTTTGGGTGATCTGGATTCCGACGTCAAAAATGCCAAATTTTTTCGTGAACGTCCGTCAAGACGTTGTCTATGCATACGGTTGGCCATCACGGCTTGTCCGACCCATTTGGAAGGTCAAACGAGCCCCGAAGCAAGCATACCCCTCATTTCGATAATTTTCGTGTGCTATAGCACACCATTTTTGGGTGATCCGGATTCCGACGTAAAAAATGCCCAATTTTTTCGTGGACGTCCGTCTAGACCTTTTCTATGCATACGGTTGACCATCACGGCTTGTCCTACCCATTTGGAAGGTCAAACGAGCCCCGAAGAAAGCATACCCCTCATTTTGATGATTTTCGTGTGCTATAGCACACCATTTTTTGGGTGATCCGGATTCCGACATCAAAAATGCCAAATTTTTTCGTGGACGTCCGTCAAGACCTTGTCTATGCATACGGTTTGCCATCACGGCTTGTCCGACCCATTTAGAAGGTCAAACGAGCCCCGAAGCGAGCATACCCCTCATTTCGACGATTTTCGTGTGCTATAGCACACCATTTTTTGGGTGATCCGGATTCCAACGTCAAAAATGCCAAATTTTTCGTGGACGTCCGTCAAGACCTTGTCTATACATACAGTTGGCCATCACGGCTTGTATGACCCATTTGGAAGGTCAAACGAGCCCCGAAGCGAGCATACCCCTCATTTCCACGATTTTCGTGTGCTATAGCACACCATTTTTTGGATGATACGGATTTCGATGTCAAACATACCAAATTTTTTCGTGGACGTCCGTCAAGACCTTGTCTATGCATACGGTTGGCCATCACGACTTGTCCGACCCATTTGAAAGGTCAAACGAGCCCCGAAGCGAGCATACCCCTCATTTTGACGATTTTCGTGTGCTATAGCACACCATTTTTTGGGTGACCCGGATTCCGACGTCAAAAATGCAAATTTTTTTCCTGGTATTCCGTCAAGACCTTGTCTATGCATACGGTTGGCCATCACGGCTTGTCCGACCCATTGGGAATGTCAAACGTGCCCCGAAGCGAGCATACCCCTCATTTCGATGATTTTCGTGTGCTATAGCACACCATTTTTTGGGTGATCCGGATTCCGACGTCAAAAATGAAAATTGTTTTCGTGGACGTTCGTCAAGACCTTGTCTATGCATACGGTTGTCCATCACGGCTTGTCCGACCCATTTGGAAGGTCAAACGATCCCCGAAGCGAGCATACCCCTCATTTCGACGATTTTCGTGTGCTATAGCACACCATTTTTTGGGTGATCCGAATTCTGACGTCAAAAATGCCAAATTTTTCCGTGGACATCCGTCAAGACCTTGTATATGCATGTGGTTGGCCATCACGGCTTGTACGACCAATTTGGAAGGTCAAACGAGCCCCGAAGCGAGCATACCCCTCATTTCAAAGATTTTCGTGTGCTATAGCACACCATTTTTTGGGTGATCCGGATTCCGACGTCAAAAATGCCCAATTTTTTCGTGGACGTCCGTCAAGACCTTGTCTATGCATATGGTTGGCCATCACGACTTGTCCGACCCATTTGGAAGGTCAAACAAGCCGCGAAGAAAGCATATCCCTCATTTCGACAATTTTCGTGTGCTATAGCACACCATTTTTTGGGTGATCCAGATTCCGACGTCAAAAATGCCAAATTTTCTCGTGGACGTCCGTCAAGACCTTGTCTTTGCATACGGTAGTCCATCACGACTTTTCCGACCCATTTGGAAGGTCAAACGAGCCCCGAAGCGAGCATACCCCTCATTTCCACGATTTTCGTGTGCTATCACCATTTTTTGGGTGATCCAGATTCAAACGTCAAAAATGCCAAATTTTTTCTTGGACGTCCGTCAAGACCATGTCTATTCATACGGTTGGCCATCACGGCTTGTCCGACCCATTTGGAAGGTCAAACGAGCCCCGAAGCGAGCATACCCCTCATTTCCACGATTTTCGTGTGCTATAACCATTTTTTGGGTAATCCAGATTCAAACGTCAAAAATGCCAAATTTTTTCTTGGACGTCCGTCAAGACCATGTCTATTCATACGGTTGGCCATCACGGCTTGTCCGACCCATTTGGAAGGTCAAACGAGCCCCGAAGCGAGCATACCCCTCATTTCGACGATTTTCGTGTTCAATAGCACACAATTTTTTGGGTGATCCGCATTCCGACGTCAAAAATGAAATTTTTTTTCGTGGACGTCCGTCAAGACCTTGTCTATGCATACGATTGTCTTTTACGGCTTTTCCGACCCATTTGGAAGGTCAAACGAGCCCCGA